AGTATTCTTTTGACACCGTGGGATTTCCTTTTTTAGAAATCCATTATTCCATGCATCCTGGAGGTTGAGGTATCATGAGTTTTCGTATATTTCATGTGATTTGAATCGAAGGAACCATTTGATCATGTTAGGATCATGTCTGATATATCGATCGCCGGGTTTGCCAAACTCTGGATCTTCATGTCAGTGTTGTGACCTGTGTGTTTCTCACCTCTTTTAGGTTGTGCGTGGTGAGCGTGATGGTGTGTGAACGTTTCACAATGTTTGGACCGTTGAAACCTGTTTGGCATGATTCAGATCATATGTGATTGATGCATATGCGATGCAACCTGATGGAACAGATGAGGTTAATTCTGTAAATGTTGAACCAATCAGAATTACCAAATCACCATTAGGAAGCTTGGAAGCTCAGCCTTCTTTCTGTATATGGTTATCATAATGAGAATATTCGTTCTTACCAAGATGTGTAATAAGATGGGCGTTCTGTCGTGATCAAGATCTTGATGATCAATGGATACCTATTGTCCGCAAATGTATTATAAGAAGGGATGGGTTTGAATCTCTTCTGGACAATTTAATTCCTTCAAGAATATTTGTACAAATTCAAAATAAATCATGAGTGATCAAGATGTTCAACAAATATTATTTTATCATGATCTTGATTCTTATTGGTCTCATGATCATCGATCCGTCAGCTATATTAAAGAAGTCATCGGATGAAGACGATTCACCATCCTTCTTGAGATCAATTCTGAAATCCAAAGAATTCTTTTGGATATCAGCCATAATAGTATATCTAATTATACATGCGTTTACTTCATTTCTGTACTGGTGTTATCTAATAAATCATTATCCTAAATATTTCATTCATTAAATCTGACATTAAGCTCAATCCTGATCAAGTGGTCAGTGTTCCGATATAAACATGGTTGAAAAGACATGCGGGTCAGAAGATTTGCGAATTATGTCTTCTGAACCTGAATGGTAATTTGCAGATGAGTGGGACATTGAAGAAGATGAAAGGTTTGAAAAAAGACATAGAGATGGTAAGCTGGAAGAGAACGATAGTTGAATTTAATGGATATATTGATTATAGATAGGATGTATTCAGTTGTAAATGTTGTATTATATTAGATCATTAATAAAGTGTATATTTAATTTTATAAGATTTAACGTTTGAGTATGAGTTTGCCAAACTTTGTATAATACGTCATGCCTAAAGTTTGTTGTGATATTTAAATTTATTTGTAAATTCGATTATGTGTGATAAAGTTTGCCAAACGCTGAGATTACGGGTTTATCAATTTATTTAGAATAACGTGATCTCAAAGTTTGCCAAACTTTATATTAATAATTATTGATGTGATGATTGAATATTTAAATAGATTGATTAACTAATTTTTTTTTCTGTTAATCAGAATTACTTGAATAAAAGTAAGCTTGACGAGTACAAAGTTTTTATATTATGATATTAACTTTTGTTTATTTAGAATGTCATCAATGAGCATTAAAGAGACCCATGAATTGATCGATTGGTTGTATCAAGGGATCTGTAATGATTATTTAGATATATTTCAAATCGTGGGGAATGGTTCCATCAAGATGACGAATGAAAATGTTCAGAAATTTAGAAATTTTGTGATCAAGTATGAAGGGATCTTGTATATGGGTATAATCTGAATGAGATAAAGACATTAGAGCATACCTCATTTTTTGAAACGCGAAAAAGGAATAGCGAGTCAATTGTATTTGAGTACATGTCGGGTTTTAAACATTCAACCGAATCATAATTATGTTAATATTATCATCATCGAGGATGAGAATAAGTGAGTTTATTACAATTATGATAGATTCATTCGAAATAATATAAATAAAGTTGGTTTGGGATCAAGATTGATCAAAAGATGAAGGGTGTGACTAAATTCATATTATTTTTTATTACATTTACTATCGTGTGTATTTTTTTGAAACAAAGGACCGATGTATCTTTGCACGTTACAGAATATGTATGATGAATGATTTACGTATTTGATTTGATGTTAATATTTATTTAGATTCTTAGTGAAAGGGATACAAGACAGGATCGGTAAATCCTATTGGAAGATACACGAGGATTATCTCAATATGTTTGAGATCACTGAAAGCAAGATGATTGAGGTAATGAATGAAAATTGTGAAAAGATTGAAAATTTCTTGAAAAAGTATCGATCTTACTCATCCTATAAGGGATATAATTTGAAGATACTGAAATTGTTGGAGTCAACTCAAATCAGGATGATTGTATTGTTTGATATGGCAAACTGAATGTACGCACGTTCGTGTCAGGTGCTCAGAATTCAACCTGATTACTTTCATGTTGACATGAGAATTTAGTTTGCCAAACTTTATTGGTTTGATAACCATATAAGGCTATCCAAGAGTTGTTACGTATTGTTTATTATAAATAAACATCTGATCTATCAGTCTCATCAGATATGAAAGAGTGTGTAATTTGCTATGAAGAAATAAGTGATACGAACCCTGCATCTGTGATGCCCTTTTGTAATTATTGATCGATGTGTGGTAAATGTATTTCCAAATGGTTTAAGGAGAATCATATCTGTCCATTGTGTCGTGTTGAGGATCCCAATAGACATGATCGTTAATTAAGATATCAAATGAGACGTCAAAGAATGTTGCGAAGATTGAGAAGAAGGTATCAAAGGTTATCTCGTGAATTGGAGACAGAAGCACATTTTAGGTTACGAGAGCTACAGGAATATGAATATGAATTGAGAATGATTTCATTGATGTTGCAAGCATCGCAGAGGGAGTTGCAAGAGTTTGAGGATGTATTGGTAGAAGAACTTGAAAAGAGAGATACAGAGCTCAAGAAATATCACATGACATGAATGTTAAAATTATGTTTATACATTTTTGTTATTATTTTTTTATGTTTAATAAAGTATTGTAAGGATAATATGATATGAGTTTGGTAAACTTTTGATAACGTGATGATATTTTAAGATATAAATAAACATAATATTATTTTTTTGTGATTTAAACATGACATTGCATTACGATATTCTTTACATCATATTTAAATTTTTGACTTTCAAGGATCAATTAAAATTTCGACTTGTTAGTAAAGAATGTAATGAGATTTATACACATCATCTTGATAATATTCGTTCATTGTATCTGAGTAGACATGTATTCTGCAATGTTAGCAGACCTCCTCAAGTTTTTGAATTTATATGTGTTATCAATAAGAATGTCATATTCAAAGTTAATAGAAAAGAGGTTCGAAGAAAGGTCAATTATGATAAAAGGATGGTATTATATTGTAGAGTTCCAAGTGATGGTCACTTGATAATACGCAAGGTAAATCAAAAGGATGTGGATTCCTTGGGCAAGGGGAATTGTCAGAAATGTGAAAAGCTCGATTATTGTATCGATAGTTTGTATTTTGATCCCAAAAAACGACTTGGTACATCATATATGCTTAAACTTTGCAAAGATTGTGATAAGGTTAACGATAGTAGATGTACATATAGTTATGAGAAATTCAGATTTAGGGTAAAGATTTCACAATGTTTCATTCATTTTTATGACATAAATGATAATCTTATACCCAAACCCGATGGATTCAAATGTTACTGTAATAGATTTGTAGAACATAGAAATCCTGATGGTTTGGTTAGTACTTACGATTTGGATAGATTTAGTGATTATATTATAGATATTGAAATTATCAGGTTGTGTCAATTTTATTACAGTAATATCAGATTATAATTTCAATAAATGTTAAATTCAAGATATTTATTATATGATAATGATTACATAATTGTTAAAAAAAAAAGTGATCATTCCAAAAATGTTACGAGGACTTTATTTCCATCGTATTTAATGATTGCATTTGAAACATAAATCCATAGTCTTATTATTATTAGTTAAAAGGGAGGTAGTAATATAATTGTATTTATCACATTTCTTGCAGATATGTTTACCAAAATCTTCTACAAATTCTTGAGTTATCAGGTAGAGGATGATTCCTCTATTTTTTGGATGTATGCAATAGTATTGATAGGGTGGTTTGTTAGATTTCATGAGTTTCGATTCTTCATGGTATCCTGGAAAACTGACCATGTATTTTGTATGGTTTTTGAGATGGGTCATGTTTTCATTATAATAAATTTCATATTGACATTTATCACCAATATATCTGAATTTGTATATGTCATATTCGACGGTCCAACGGTATGGAGGGAAGTATTGATTAAAGAATACGTACTTATTATATTTTATGTAAATAGCATGGAATTTATGATTAACTAATTTGTAAGATTCACTATCAAATATTTTGATGAGAAATAAAAAGATATATGAGTTAAGTTCAATGGTACAAAAAACTTTATCTTGAGTCATTATTGAAGATGTGATGATTTATTGAATAATTTATAAAAAATTTAAGTTTGCCAAACTTTAAATAATGTGATCCAACAAAAGATAACTATATAAGATTAATTACAATTTGATACATTATATAATAATGTTGATTGTATCATGTATATTGAAAATATGTATAAACAGAGATACAAAAAACAAAATATGAAGAATTTAATGATTCAATATGTGTGTGCGACAGAGTATCATTGTGTGAACTGTCATGAAAAATTTCAGTGTTCCGGTTCTTACAAGCCTGAAGAATATTCTAACAAGGTTAATTGTGAATTGTGTGAAAAGAAGCATCGAAGATGTATCAATGAGTCTTGTGAAATGTGTTGCGAAAACTATTGTTATAATTATGAATACCATCAATATGATCAGCATCGACATTGTACTGATGATGGTTGTGAAGATTGCTATCGAATGAATGAATGTAATGCCATGATTTGTTCCAGTTGTCTTGAATTCAATATTAAATGCAAGAGATCTATCCCGACTTCTCAGACTGATTTGATCGATTCGAGTTCATAACTTATTGTGTGGGTCAATATGAATCGACACCGGAGACTGGACGTATACATTATCAGACATATTTCCAATTGGATAAACAAAAACGGAAAGGTGCGATCAAGAAACTTTTGGGAAACAATATGATTCATCTCGAAGGTGCTTGGGGTAGTTTTGAAGAGGCCTCAAATTATTGCAAGGCTCCATTTTTTCAATGCAAGAGGACCTATTCTGAATTGAAAGAAGAAAACTGCAAGTTATTTGATGGTGAAAAAAAGAGAAAATGTGTAGAAGATCCAGATGAATATTACGAGTTTGGTGTTCCCAAGAAGCATTCACGTTGAAGGATCAAAAGGATGTCAAGGGTTCTATGGATGAGATCAAGGAGGAAGATCTGGGGCGATTGATACATCTTCGAGATGGTGATATCAGTTATAGAGACGTGGTATTGAATTGAAACTTGCAACCATTGAGTTGGCATTCAAATCATAAGTTAATAAAAGAGTTGGAATATGAGGAGAGAATATTGAAGGGATCGATCGTCAAGAGATTTTGAAAACCTGTCGTGATTTATATTTATGGTCCAGGTGATTCTGGTAAGACAAGATTGATAATCGAGTTATTTTCAAATGTTATGTATAGCAAGTCCCCAAAGGATCGATCGGGTGGAAAGAATTGATGGAATGGATATGACGGTCCATCAGTGGTTTTCTTGGATGAATTTTATACTAAGATTTCATGGGGCGAGATGGTAAATTTGTTAAATGATACCGATTACTCGGTTGAGATCAAGTATGGAACTTTGAGATCATTTATTCCACGATACATATTTATGATGAGTACCCAATCACCACAGAATGTATATATATATGGTACCAAAAATGATGAAGATGATAATAAACGTTCATCCAAGCAGTTTCTCCGTCATATTGATTATATTATCCAATTGGAAGGGAGGTGGAATGATGATGTTAAGGAACGGACAACCAGAATATTCTTTAAAAAGGGCGATGAGGATGATTTTCACAACATGTGATAGGATATCAAATATAGGAGGTATGGCGATACAATCGATGAATTGAAACAAAAGATCAAAGATGTAAATCAAGATGTTGATGGTGAGATTATCATTAGAGATGGTCAAGTTTATTTCAGGGAAAGATTTCCAGATCATAAGGTTAGATATCTTATGGATTATCTGATGTGTAAAGATTTGTCTGAATATAGATCGATTTAATTTGTTATTTACAATATAATAAATATCGATTAGTGTGATAAAGTGTGACGTTTTGTTCTAATTTTATATTTAATTTGATTGGGTTTAAAGTATGGTCATGGTATCAATTATTCATTATAAATTGATCAGTTGTTTGATGTGTATCATGTTGAGATCAAGATTTGTAAGAGAGGTAATATTTGATCGAATTGGATGTAGACGAATAAATATTTATTTATATTTTTTTATAGGATGGAAGTACAAACAGTTACATCTGAAAATAATCCAATTTTATTGGATAAGAATATATCACATTTATACAAAATCATAATATTACGATGGAGTATCTATCATATTCGAAATAATGGTTTGAATGATATCCAAGCTTATCAGGATGCATTTTCTTCTGTTTTTTTAAACCCCAATAATAGGATTGGTAACAATAAATTAGCAACATTGTATCGGGCATGTTCAAGACGATGTGATTATAATGTTCAGAGAAATGCGGTCATTTTTAAGGGTAGTGGTGAGGTTCAGAATACTGTAATTCCCAATATATTTGATTATAGGACTCAGGTTGATGATTATTGTAATTGGTTGGTTTCGAGTGGTG